AGATATTTTGACCAATGTTGACCCAGAGCATGTGTAACAGATAACATTAATGATTGCTCAGTTTTATTAATCTGTGCCAGTATGTCAGTGAACCAGCATGCACAACAGCGAGGCCCTGGCAATTTCACAATGGCTCTTACTAAATGGAATCCAGCCATAATTAATGTTGCAGCTGTGTTTGACAAGTCATAATATTGTGCTTGGAGAAAGCTCACAGTTTTCTCTCCTTCTATGTGTGTCTCTCTTTGCTCAAAGACAGGCAGTGTAGCACAGGCCTTTTCAGGCATGCTGTTCATGGGGTTGTTATGTTGAGTCGATTTTTGGGCACATCACATAATACTGTAAAATTGGTGCATTCATGCTCCGTTGGCATTCAAAATAAAGACGCTGACTTTTGATGCTTAAACATAGTGACGCTTCACAGCATTTTCAGCTTCTCCATGGTGTTAAAACTACTCTTGCCAAAACCAGCATCTATTGGGGTTTTCGGCTACCTTCATACTGTACACCGTTATTAACCAGCCACTGTCGCCTAGCAACCTCAACCATGAGCAAGTGTTTTTGTATGACGTCTAGAGGTCATTTGCATTAATTATTTGGCCTTCTTTATATCATTTGCATACAGAAGGAATCTGTTTGTGTGCACCTCCTTTAAGAAAAGACAGCTTATTTGTTTTTCTTTATAATAATTTGACATTTTTAGTAACTTGAGATGCTTTGCACAGCACTGAAGATCAGTCTTTCCATCAGTGCTGGCCGATAAATTGTATTTTCATCGTCATCGTGATATGAACATGCACAATAAATACATTGCGAAAGACCTGAAATGCAATGAATATGCCTGTTCTTTGTGTTGAGGCTGAGCTAGGCAATCACATGCAGCGGACAGCAGAGCAGAGGGACAGTGAAGTGAACCTCAAAGCTAACGTAAAGATATTTCAAATTGATAACAACTACACTTGCTACTGTAAGTAAGTGCAAAAAAATAGCTTTTGTGAACTCAGCTGCTGGCTGAGACAAACCAGCCCCTCCTCTCTCTATAAGCGGCAAGTGCAGGCAATGAATCCACCAGCATTTTGAGGTCAGGTATATGATTTATTTTATTGACATTTTAGATTTGCTTCCAGTGAAATACTATTGACTTTGCTGTTGCTGCTCTAGATACAATATTTAGTTATGTTTAAAATATTCTAATCCTGAAGACAGCCAGGCTGACATACTGTAGGAACTGTAAACAGCTAATTTGCACACTTCAATATTTGTTCATTTATCGCAAGTCATAGGCTATCATAATTGCAATCTTAGACAGTGTTATAGCACAATGCAGATTTTCCTCATATCGTGCCTACTTTCTATAGCTTCAAACATTGCATCTGGTGTTCACACATACTGCAGGGACCTCGATGTGAATGTCTAGGGAATCAACCATGGCAGAGCTTGAGGGGTTCTGCTCAAAAGAACATCTGGGTTGCTTTGCTCTCTTGTCACAATGTGCCAACAAAATATATTTTTTTCTTTTTTATATTTATATTATTCATGTTGTTTTTCATGCAATATGTGGACTGTAGAATGTTTTAGTTGAAGATAATGTTGTTGTGCCCGTTAAACACCATTATTATCAATTACACTGTGTTTAGTTTAGAGTATTGTTGCTTTCCCTTGCTCTGCTCCATGTAGTGAAGTCACTTGCAGTGTTTCTGGCTGAGTGAGTGAAAGATGCAAAATGTTGCTAGCCTCAAACTTGCACCTTTGTGGTGTGTCTAATATTTTTTTGTAAATGCAAATGCTTTCTATTTGGATACCGCCTTTCTAGTCTTTGCGACCACTCAAAAGGCTTCCACACTACATCACATTTACCCATTCACACACTGATGGCAGAGATACTAAGCCAACTACACATCCGAAAATAAATAACATTCATACTCATTCACACAACATTTCAACATGCAGCCTGGGGGTAGACAGGGATCGAACCACAGCCCCTCCGGTTAATAGACAACTGCTCTACCCACGAGTCACAGCCGCCCCAATTGTAGTCTTCATGTATGTAAATTGTGACGGACAAAATGTATGAATACCTTTTCATATGATGCAGTTAAATGCAACACAACCACCAAAAACTGCCTAAAGAAATCATTACCTCTGAGAAATTAGACATAAATGCACGAGATAATATTTTTAATATTATGATATCATTGCACAACCATAGCAGTACAATCTAAACTGTTACCAGTTTACATGTCAGTTATTGTTATAATCATGAATTAAGCTGGCTACAAGCAAAGTTACAAAATGTGTTTCTGTGGTAAGTGGTCATTTTATAAGCTGAATAAAACACTGTATGCTGTCCTGGTATAAACAGCAATTAACTTAGCAGAGGGAACACAACTCTGCCTAATGTTGTGGGAAATAGGAAAAAATAAATTAGAACCACAAAACTGTGGAAATCACCAGAGATTGCTGCCAAACAACATGAAAATCAGTTCCAATTCATTTGTTCATTTGTTTTTCCTCCCTTTTAGTGAAGACGGATACACTTTATTCTTTCACCATGAAATGTATCCCACAGTTCACTGCAATGTAAGATCGCAGACACTGCAGTTGGACTGTTATAAATATATTATTTCATATAAAATTTGTGAATCTTCTGCGGTCATAGTCTATTCATTTGCAATTCTGGCACTTCGGACAGGTTGCAGTTAAAATAAGGACAGGCCTAAGAAAAGTTGTGTTTTTCACCTCAATGCAGAGTCAATGTAATTATATGTATCATACAGGCAGGAAAGTAGCCACAAATTGTATAAAAATAAAGAAAGCTGAAAAAGATATTGTCAGTGTTTGGGATATATAACCGATAGTGCCACTATGGCTGATGAATTCAATTCATATTTTGTACAATCAGTTGAAGAATTATCAAAAGATTTTCAGCCAGTTGATTCTCTCAATCATTCATTGAGTCACCTCAATAGATTCCTTTTATATTAAAGAGGTGCTGGATACAAAAGTTGCAGAAATAATCAATAAACTTTAAAATTCCAAATCTAATGACATTTTTAGGATGAATAGCTGTTTTCTTAAAAAGTATAAAGATGTTCTTGTCAAACCATTGACCCATCTTGTTAATCTTTCCATAAGAAACAGTACATTTCCCAGTGCATGGAAAAAAGGAATAATCATCCCTGTGTTCAAAAGTGGTAGCCAAGACTCAGTGAGCAACTATCGCCCTATATCGATTTTACCAATTTTATCTAAAATAATTGAATAAGTTGTAGCAGCGCAACTGATTGACCACTTAGAAGCCAGACAGCTCCTCCATCCACACCAGTTTGGGTTTAGACCAGGTTATTCAACTGTAGCAATAACAATAGCAAACTGCTGTTTAACTGAAAATGTAAAAAAGTCCCTGGACAAGGGCAATGTGGTGGGAGCTGTATTTATCGACCTTAAAAAGGCATCCGACACGGTCAAACACAGTTTGCTTTCATTTAAAATGTTACATTTTAATTTCTCAGATGAGGCAGTGTTGTGGTTTACATCTTATCCCCAGTCTAGAGTATAATGTGTTAAAGTTGATCAAGACATATCTGCACTCTCAAACATAAAAATGGGCATTCCGCAAGGCTCTATACTTGGCCCTTTGCTGTTTAGTCTCTTTATAAATGACTTACCTCTGCACTGCTCAGGTGCCAGTTGTCAGCTCTATGCGGATGATGCAGTTCTTTATGCACCTGCCAAGTCACCTGAGCAGGCTGCAGCTGTCCTGTCCACCAGTATGACATCCAACAGTGGCTCATTCAAAATCAGTTAGTTCTAAATCTCTCAAAAACAGTCTCGGTGTGCTTTTCCATTAAAAAAACTTGATTTAAAAGAAAGATTTAATATTAATTTACAAAATAAAGAAATTCATCCAGTTACAGAATTTAAATATTTCTCGGGTTAGTTTTAGATCCTCAACTTAAATTTGACAAGCATATAAAGAAAATCTCAAAAACAATACAGAGTAATCTCAGCTGTTTCAAACTAATCAGAAGCTACATATCAAACCAGGCAGCCCTGCTGTACATGCATGCTATGATTTTTTCTCATATCATACTGCATGACAGCATGGGCACAAGCCGCTCCCACTGCAACCAAACGCATAGGCTCTCTATACAACCGAGCAATAAAAATTATGGATAAAAAACCAATACGCCATCATCACTGTACCATCCTTAAGAAATATAATTTAATGAATTTTGATAGCTTTAGCAATCTTTGCTTCCTTAAATTGATTCACAAGTGCATTAATCACTTAGCACCTCAGCCACTAAGTTCATTTGTTGAGAGACAAAACAGCATTCGAGTCACTAGGAGCTCCACAAATCATGACTGTAAAATACCATACTGCAGGACCAGCTTTGGACAGACGACCTTCTCTGTGAAGAGCTCTAAACTCTGGAACTCATTACCATCTGACATCAAGACTGTACCTGACTTTAAAATGTTTACTTCCAGGCTTAAAAAGACAAACCAAAAGTGTACTCATTTTTAATTATTGTAAGTAGGTAAGAGTTGTATATGATATGCATGTTTATACATCATGTTTATATTATTTTTTTAAATTGAAGTAGTAAAGTATTGTCAGGGTTTGCTGAGTGAGTGCAGCAGGAGTGAGCCGAAACACATGACACTGTGAGCTGAGATTGAGTTCCAGGGTTTATTTATCCCAAGCACCACAAACAGAACTCACAACTACAGGAACTGGTACATCCAAAAGGTAGCAACGGGTAGAAACACGACATCCGGCAGGACAGGACAGGACAGGACATGCGACATGCGACATGCGACATGCGACATGCGACATGCGACATGCGACAGGACAGGACTGACATGAGACAATGACCAGACAGGAAATGAACAGAAACACCAGACATTTATACACAGTGACTAACGAGCAGGGCGGGAGCAACACAGGTGACTGGGATCAGGGTTAAAAAGGCAGAGAGACAGAAGGGAAAACAGACTAGCAGGCAGGCAGATTACTGAGGGGAGTTACTCAACACTAAACATCAGAGTAATATAAACAAGCGGACAGATCACAAATGAACTAACACCAACAAGGAACACAGACAGAAGCTAAGACTTGAACAGAACTCAGAACAGACATGGGCAAAACACAGAAGTACACAGACCAGGAGTAAACACTTAAGACATGAACTAAGGCACAGGACTAGGAACACAGACATGGAACAAAAACCCAGACTCCGCAACAAGACACACAGACTGAAACCCAGACACGCACAGGACAGGATTGTGACAAGTATGTAAATTCTATTGTTTATAAAAGCCCAACCAGTGACAGGAGTTGAAAATTAGCATTGGCTACAAACTTTATATGCAGCACTTCAGTGACAAGCTTTGTTTTGACACTATAATTGTTTGCATTGTCCCTGTCAAATAAATAAATATAAAATACATTCCACCAATGTCTCCTTGTGGCCTAACATCCAGGCCTTTCCATACATGTACATTGGTATCGTAATGTTTCCCGCAACAGTCGATTTAACACACTATAAAAGTTGTGCAAAGCCTCAACCGCGTACACTGTGCCAAAGCAGAGTGATAACCAGCCAACTAAGTAGGCCAAATTTCCCGAGCTATCTACTAAACCCTGCTTGTTTGGCTGGCAGTTTCTGTCAGAGAATGATGTCTGTCGATATGGATTATTAACAGCAAATGTGATATTTAAGACACAGCTTTAGGGGAACTGGCAAGAATTTATTACAGGTTAGTCATTATGAAGACAAGGGTGTCCTTTCATGACTGGTTGGATAGGAGGGGAAATCACAAAGGAACACAGCTTCCATCTGGTGGTTAGAAAATGCAAGTACAAACTAAACACTGCCTCAATAGCCACTGATACTTTTTTATATGTGCTGTAGTGGTGATGGGAAAATAGCCGCACAGGCCCAGATACTCTGGATAATCAAAAAGTCACCAAGTAAACTTATTTCTTTAAATCACTGTGAATTGTGTGCTCTGTAAAGATACACACTTGGCCACCATGACCATACACACTGGCTGTGACCAGACTTTAGATTTCATGACTACAGAGTCATGCTATGGCAGTCCAACAACACAACACAGAATTTCTTATAATGGTGGAGATTATAGTATATGTATTGTTTGCATTGCCTGTGCAGATGTGTATTCATTTTTTCCAAAAAATGCTTAAGGAACCTGGATCCTTTTGTTTGATGTTTTTAAACACGTACCAACCTGAACACACCCACTCAATATTCTGCGCCTTCTGTTTCAATATTGCAAGGATTTACTTGTGACCATGTGGTATGTTCAGCCTTTGCATGCCAGGAAAGATAAATATTCCCTCTAAAAAATGGACATGATTGATCCAGGGATGCAGAAAGGGATGACACAGGGGTTTGAACACCATGTAGTCTGCTGACAGCATGAAATGAAACTGAGGTAGTTGCAGATACTGCTCTCTCTTGTACAACAAAACTGCAACAACCACAGTGGGCGATTCTTTGAGTCTTTTAGAGGACGTTTTTGGATGATAATATGAATCTCCAATATGTCAAAATTAATTAATTCCAATCATTCCTGCCCTTCTTTTATCCTGCAACTTGTGCAATGCACAGTGCAGAAAAATATCCACTTCATGGCCCTGTGTGGCCCGAGATCCACCCACTCAATAGGAGGAAGCCACATCCTGGATTTGGGTCTGCGCAAAGCTTGAGCCAAATCAGCAGTGGTGGAAGAAGTACTCAGATCTTTTACTTCAGGAAATGTAGTAATACCACTGAATAGAAATACTAAGTTATAAGTAAAAGTCATGCATTCAATGCAAGAAACCTTCATTTTGTGGACAAAAGTGGTAGTGTTTCCACCTCGTCAAAAGCTGAATCTGGCTAGCGTGTGCATTTGTTTTGAACGGGAGTGACAGAAAGACACTTATTTTTAAAATTATTTTTCACAGCTGCATAATGATGAGGTAATGTATCGATTTTTGCCTACTTAAAATGAATAACTATAATATGATGATGGTGAAACAAATTAAACTTTATTTTAGTACCATTCATACACCTAAGTTACATGTAGGCTAACCCTAGGTCTAACAAACATATTTGGCTGCTCGGAACTAGTAGTTTTGTTGAGAAAGCTAAAGTTATCAACATTCCCTAGAAATGTATGTCTTCTTAATAATAAGCCAACAGCAAGATACAGCTCTGTAGCAAGGCAAAGCCAGTTTGTATTACAGTAATGTCCAGCGTGGCCTATCTTTACCTCCATGGACTATACACAGCCAAATAAAACAGACCTGTCTAGGAGGAAGAGGGACAATTCAGGGGCAGTTTTAAATCCTTTCAAATTCTGAAATTGTCTCCATCTGTTGAATGACTTCTCTTTGCTGCCCCCAGATCAGCCCTAACCACAAAATATAACTAAGTTCTCTATGGAAAAAATCTAATATGCTTGCCTTTAACCGGCTAACGTACTATTCAATGCAAAACTTTGCCTGGAAAAAAGGCTCTTCCGATCTGCGTGCCATTAATTGTTTCTTCTGATTTCAAGGTATTAAGAATAACAAATAGCTAATCTTCTCGCTGAGAGACACATTTACTTATGTAGGTAACACAAGGTATCGATGTAAATTGAGACAGTTTCACAACTACTTAAAAAATTAAAAGTAGCCTACTTAATATGTAGAATGGCCTGTATCAGAATAATGGAAATTATATCATTGGATTATAACTAATGATGCACTAATGTGTTAATTTGCTTACTTTAGTATATACTTCTGGGTAGCTTGTGACAATTCTCTTATTATATTATAACCTATAATAATACATACATACATTTTGTATTATTAATCAGAGTCTGTAAAGTAAGTAGTAAATAAGGCTATGATTTAAACGTAGTTGAGTTAAAGTTCAAAGCAGCATGAAATGGAATTGCTCAAGTAAAGTATCTCAAAAGTGCAGTACTTGAATAAATGAACTTACTTTTCACCACTGCTAATCAGCCAGCTGCCATAAACCAACCAGAATGAAATAATATCTAATGCAGTCTCGGCTAACTGGGAATTTGAGAAATGTTCAAACAATTTAATCTGCAATGGTAAGTGCTTATCAGATATGTTCGGCTATATCAGAGCAAATGTTAAGAAAGAGGCACTGCAAAATTGGTGCTGTTCAAGTCTGGTATTTCCATGAAAATATTTTGTTTAGTCTGTGGAAGGTGAAGCAATGTCGGTGTAATTATAGTTTAGCTTATGAGTATTAAGACAGCTAGTTGCAGTGAGCCCATATGCAAGAGTCTGTTCTCTGCCAGCTCTCTCCTAATGACTACATCTATGTTCTAACTGGAATTAAAAATGTGCTTGAATAGTTCACGTGCTTTTAATTTCATCCCTGCCCGCTGATTATTTACACTTCACAAAAAGAGAATTAATTGGTCCTACAATGATTTATGGGAGCAAGCGGAAATTTAGTTTGTTTTCTTGATCACATCCAACAGAGCCCATTCCTTTAATGGTTGGACCAACATCAGGATAGACGTGTTGTGAGTGTTGTTTAGTGGAAAAGCTCTGATCGATATTGAAGAGCTCTACACTACTTTCAGACCATGCAGGGACCTAAGGCATGGAGAGAAAGGTGCAGCACAATAACTCCACAGTTCAGCCTGCTCTTATCACATCTCATCAGCCTGTTAAGTCAGTGGTCCATAAAACTGTCTCCAGAGTGATATGCCATCGTCACATCACACCCTAATTTTCTTGAACAACACCTTACAGTTGAACGAGCATGCTTTGCAATGCATAACCAGAGTGCAATGGTGAATTAGGCACCAGGGACACCTTCAACTCTTACCGCTTATTAAACCACAACTACACTTTCAGAACTTCACCATGCTAGCCCAAGCAGAGATGAAGCTCCCCCTTTAACAGCAAAGTAACAGTACTTTTTTTATTTTGCCAAGTTCCTCATTCACTCACTGACTTCAACTCCTAACTAGACATATGGTGAGTTAAGTTGTGTGTGCTCATACACACTCGTATGCTGTTTGTGCCTATGCGCGTTGCTGTGTTTGCACAATATGCAAGTGACTGACTGGATGTGAAGAATAATGTTGAATTTGGGTAATTAGGAACTGTGTGTGTGAGCCTGTCTGCCTGTCTGTCTTGACTGTATGTCTACAAATGCATACAGAATGCAAAATGGCTCCCTTTGCGGCCTTTGTCTCCCTCTGGGCCTTCCAGACTTCCCAAGCTGAACAGATCAGGCCAGACTGCCTCTCTCTCAGGGTCCAGACTGGTTAACAAGCAGCAGAATAAACGCCAGCCTGTTAAATTGTATGTAACTTTTTAGTTCGCACTAATAGTGTGACCTTTATCGATTTCTTGTCTCCGCCTTCAGCTTGGCGAAACACTAATGGCATTGGTCAATAAAAAACCATGAAGTGGAAGTTCTCAATACCCCTCCCCCTGTGTTGACCACATCCCTAAGAATAGCCACTCAACCTCCCTCAGAGTCCAGTAAGCTAGTGCCATGACAGCTCAGTACTCTTATTCAATATGAGTTGCTCTGTGTCCCTGTTTGTTTCCTCACTACAGATGTAAGAGGGCTAACATGCTGAGGCATCCGCCAAACACATCTACTTTGACTCCTGTCCCTGCCAGCTCCCATTCAGACGACCAGCCACATTCAGTGAGTACCCTGCCTCTTTTAATCAATAAATTTATAACACGATGAACGGAGCATAAAACAACACTGCGACTTGGGCGTGCAAATCGAAAACAAACAGCAGTTTCAGCAACTGTTGTCTTACTTGCCACTCTGGGACCTACTGCTTCAAAGAATTACGTTCACATTTCAAAAGAACAAGTTTACAATAAAAAAGCCCTGTGTCTGTATAGCTACCACCCACTGTTTTATTGACTTGTAATGTCAATGTGTATCCCTGCTTGCTGATGTCTTTCCCTCTACACTTGCACTTATTGAGCTTTGCAGAAAGAAATATTATGAGCAGAGTTCAATACAGCTGAAACTATCCCCACTTCCCTCTCAGTGAAAACAACCATCTACTCTTGAATGCCTACGTCTTTCTCCAAACTTCTCAACGCTGAACTTTGTTGACCAATCTGTTTCTGCTGCACACCAAGGCCCTTTGGATGTGAGCCTTTCCTTGCTTCACGGGTATACTGCTGAATTCAGAGCAACGGAGGCAGTTGAAGGCGATTCTCTCACACAGTGATGCAGCCGTTCGTAAGTCAAAGTTCTGGGAGGGGACCCCTGTGGTGCCGCTGCTCCACAGTAAGAGGAGCAGCAGCAGCCAGCAGCGGTATTGATTCACCTTGCAGCCTTGAGCCTGCTGTCACAGACAGTATATATCACTTTATTTAATCCACTGTTAAATAGGCTGTAATTAGAAATCTGTCCAGCGGATGTGTTTTAGTTAATGGGTGGTTTGTGGCTAAGGTACAATCAAACTACGCTGCCTGTTGTGCATTTGCTTTGTTAGTGTTCATCTTTCAGTAACAGTTAAGTGAAAACTTTATTTTGATGATGGATTTGGATCTGAGTACTATTGACAGTGTCTACAAAGAAAAGGCAAATGATGCAAAACCCTCTCTCGGGGGATTAGCCTGCTTGCTATTTGAAAAGTACTTACAGTAAGTCTCGTAATTGTGGTTAATGTTTGCAAGTCCCTTGGCTCAATCCAATGACAGATAGATGACAGCAATGCTATTTACTTTTATAAAAAGCGCCCTTGTCACTTGCAGCAGCTTTTACTGTGCAACCTGTATGGTCACCTACAGTAATATCTTTCAACCTCTGTCATTCAGGGTAGCTGAGGCAGCTTGTACTGTTTTTCTACTTTTAATAGAGGTGTATATTTCATCACTATTAGCTTTTTGTGTGACACTATGAAGCCAGAAAATGTCTGAAAGTAGTTAGATTTTCAGATTTTATTAAGCATATTGTAATATACATTGTTCTGATTTTAAAGAAACTCAAATGAGCATCTAACATCAATGTAGTTTTAATGCTGAAAAGTGACTGTCAAGCTTCTTGATAGACCCACATTTGTGAGTAATCCTCCTGTATTTCAGTTTGGTAGACATTGAAATTTGTAGTTGGATTTTTGACATCTACATGCCAGTTTTTATCAGTAAGACTTGGGAATTGATGGATTACTACTTGTAGATTTGATAAATGGTTTGTGATTACCAGCAGAAGAAGTAACTATGGACATTTGCTCAAGTAAGCTACTGTACTCGAGCACAGTCAAAGTTTGCGTTTAACTTTGTGATACCTTTCTCCACATTTCAGAGAGGGAATATTGCACAGTTTCACTTTATTTATCTACAAAGTTTCACACGATTTAGATTAAATTTTATGCATCCACTGCAGTTAACTTTGTAGATTTTTACTTTACTACATGTCATTTCACTTAAGTCAGACTCAGCACAACCCACACAACTTACACTGAAATACTGGTGACGCATTAACGCACCAGTCATTTGAGTGTAGTATGACTTCACCTTACCGTCAATACCTGTTTTATTCAAGTAAAGTTTTAAATTAATTAAATTAAGGGCTTTTACTTGTAATAGGCTTTTTAATGACAACAACATTTTGACACATATCACAGCAGGCCACACACAAGTGTAAATAATGAAAACTTAATGATGACACTTATATTGAAAGGAGCAATCATTAACATTATTAGTTATTTTGGCACAGGTGCTGTTCCTTCTATGACTAGCCAAAATGTCTGCTGTGAGAAAGGCCTGTGGAATATTCTCCCTTGGGTTGTTACTTTTACTAAGTAAAGGATTTGCAGTTCTTCTTCCACCACTGTTTGGAAGGAAAGTAGCCTACTTTACAAACATGCCCAGTCATGTTCAAAAAAGCTGGTCAGAGCCCAAATGTCAAACAATACTTGCCAACCTCCTGGCACAACTGCCTTTACTAAGTTGAAGTACTTCATAACTGACACTGGGTGTCGCTCCAGAGTGTCTATTGTCGCTCCTGCGTGCTTATTCCGCCGCTATCACCCCCCTCTGCCGTGCATCCTACTGTGTGTGCGTGTGTGTTGTGTGTCGGATAGAAAGTCAGCCTGGTTTCCAGCTGAGTGCTTGCTCTCTCACAGTGTGTGTGTGTGTTGTCATTATTATCCACTCTGCTCCCAGCTCAGAATGGCCAGATTCACTCAGACTGAAACAAGAAGGCAGCACCATCCACAGCAGCCCCAGCCCGCTCACTCCAGCCTGGTTTTCACCGGACCGGGGGCACCAACGACCCAACAACCACTACTACTTATCCCACATCAGCACCAGTACCCTCAGATCACATTCCCGAAACCCATGAACGGGTCAGAACCCATTTCAATTCATCCGGAGAGCGGCAACATGAAAGACCAAGATGCCATTAAGCTGTTTATCGGGCAGATACCGCGGAACTTGGAAGAAAAAGACCTGAAACCCCTGTTTGAACAGTTTGGGAAAATCCACGAACTGACAGTTCTCAAGGACCGATACACCGGCATGCACAAAGGTAACGTGTCCACCCTCAAATGACTGCGAGGCCCATATAGCTTAATAATTGCTTATTATTAACTGTACCGTTTGAACTCTGAAATAGTGACGCGAAAAATTCTGATATTTGTCACTTTTTTATTTTTTTTTATATCTCATATGATATCAGTCTACTGTTCTAAACAGTCCTACATACAACCATCTTTTGCATCATTGCTTGAATATTTTCATCTAACAAAGGTTTGTCATTTTGTCCCAGTTATGATTTCTTTGTTTATAAAGCACAATTTCTTATCTATTTTTTGACTGCCTAATATTTTAGAGCATTTGTATTTTCATCTTTATAATTCTATATTTGTTTTTATTACGAGAACACTTAAAATGGGAGATTTACAAATATTATGAGCGCGTGCAGTATCACGAATGATAGGGTGGCAAACTGTGTTGGTCATGTTCGGTTTTATTGCAATTGAACAGTAGCCTACAGTCTTAACACGCTCTTAAGTGGGGCAGAGGCGCTTGGAAAGGATGCATTTTTAAAGAGGCTTCGCTTGCCAGTCCCGTCTTTTGCGGAGGGGGCGGCATCATTTATTCATTCATATGTTTTCTTTAACATCTCCCCATGTGCGAATGGGGCGTGCTGGTTACAAACCCGACACAGTGAAATCAGTTCAATACCACGATGCCTCCAAAGGGCGCAAGAACTGTCGCAAAATGACGGACGTCGCCACGGAGAGTGGGGCAGCGATGCTGCGCTGCTTCTTCTGAAATGGAAGGCTGCGGGAGGCAGAGGGTGTAAATCCACTCAGCTCACTATAGTGACAACTTCCACCTTCCGTAATGAAGTTGGTTATCAAAGATGTACGGTGTAGCCTATACATCACTGCCTGGGTGGGAAAACCATTTCGTTAACCCCCCCCACCCCTTTATCCACGCAGTGGCGTCATCATCATCATCGTCGTCATCGTCATCATCATCACTTTCAACCAACTTTCATTGTGTTGATCACAGTTAATTTGTAGTTGCACTCAGGCAGGTTGGACATGAACCCTAACCCCTTGAAATAATCACAGTGACATTTACATACATTAGGAGACTTCCATGATAATAAAGACTGTGACCTCCAGTATCATAATTATATTGGAATCATAGTTTCCGCATTTTGAAATTGTTGTAAACACCATATTCACAATTCAAAGGGAGGAAAAACAACACTGAGCAAGAGTTGTGACGTGCTTAGCTCTTTTGCACAACACTTAAGGTTTAAAATGTGCTCCCATCCGTCCTTCTGAATCTGCCTCCTAGATGTCACAGACCAAAAAACAGATGCGTGACTGTCCAACAAAAAATAGCCTCTTTCTAAATTCAACCTTTGGATTCCTCATTTTGTTCTCCTGCAGACTAGATGTTGATATGTGAAGGATGTCAGTACAGGAGATAAGCCTTTTTATTGCAGTGACATTTAGAAAAGACAAATGATAGGCTGTGACAATAATGTGAATTCCATTTGCAAACATTGCAAACAATGTCAAGTCTTCTATGACATATGGAATCACCATCCAAAGATATTACATTTGTTACCATTAGAAAGGTCGTCCACAACTGTCACAAAGCTCAAAGGCCATCTCAAAAATAGAATGATTTATTTTTGCCCTATATATATTCATTAACATGGATTAACATCCTGGGATTGATTGCACAGTTTTATTGACAGAAGACACAACAAGTAACAAGTAAGTACCAAAGTAAGAGAAACCAAGAAAGTATCACAGTATACTGTAATTACATAGATATTTTTTATGTACATATTCAAGTTGAAATTAGCAAGTGATATTATATTCAAAATCTCAGTGATCACACGTAGATCAAAACATGTGACAGTTAGGTTTATGAAGGTTTCATACTGGATGTAGCATCGATTATGCTGTCATAGCTTCTATTAGCCGCATATTTCTTGAAGCCACATGCCTGAATGGCAAATGGTCCTGATTCCATAGTTGACATTGTCTGTGTGAAGAACAGACCTTTCTTTCAGTGTAGCACTCATTTGGCATTCATTGTTATCTCTGTACATACGTATACTAAAATGTCCTTGCCCTGTATAACATAATGATTATTTCCATGGAGACTCAAATTCTAAAGAGCTGTGTAACAAAGCGAAATCTCCCCCCTTTTTTAAAGAAAAGTGTATAAAGTAGAAAATAATCTTGATCTTGTGCATTCTTATATCTATCGGAAGTCAATCACAAGTTCTGTTACTGTTAACTCAGTTTAATATGTAACCCCCAAAAATCTAAGACATTAGCTTGTATAAAAGCAGGTAGATGACGTCATCTCTTCGATCTGAGTACAAATTATAAAAACTTATTTCTAAATACACTTCTTAAAGTAAATTATTACCTTTGTTCATTAACTTGCAAACAATTAATTAAAATTAGATAGGTATTGTTCAGTCAAATTAAATGGCTTAAAATTTAATGAATCCGGGCCACGCAATTAACAATACATAAACAAACCCTAATATGTCAATGATCTCTGATGAGGTTATTTTATAGTTAATGATGTTATTAAGTTAAGCAGAAAAGGATTATTAGATCCTACTGGAAAGACTGGAACAGCACCCTCAAAGAGACATATTCGGGCTGACAAATACATTGACGGACACACACACACACACACACACACACACAGTGTTGTGCACAGTCATTTTGATTTTCATTTCATCTACATTGTGCTTTGTGTGTTTATTATTTCCTCTTTTCTTATGCAACTATTTTTTCCCCTTGGTAATCCATGAGGGAAAACAAGGAATTAGTTTGTAAAGCGTGATAATAATGCATGGCCATAATAACTTGACTCAAGAGGATTAGCAAATGTGCATTGTCTGAAGCAGCAGTCTCTTGGGTGATCAGCTAGTTGCCTCCCTAAACAGTGGCTGCCTCTGCCAATTAAAAATTCAGTCTAGTCTGCCTCTTCAAATGATTAATTCTGCCCACGCTGTCAATGGCCTGCCAATTATTGTCGCCCAATTGGTATTAATAGGTAGAGGATTTCTTGATGTTGAATTTATCACAGACTGTGAAAACTTCTCCCTTTGGCTCTAATTAGCTTCCACTTATTGCACATGCAGAACACACACTTACACGTTTATGCACATGCATATAAACAGAGCCAAGGCTTTAATCACCCCAAGGCTTTCATTTTTTTCATGTGTTTAGGTTGCTGTTTTCTGATTTTATTTATTTTTCACTTATTTATTTATTTTTGTCCATATTGACCGTTCTGCTTTGAAAAGAAAAAGATGTATACATGAAAAGCACTCGGAGCAAAGCTGAATGTGTTTCAGTGTGTGGAATTGCATTTTTTTTTCTTTTTCTGGTCAGATTTTAGCTTGAGTATGGTTGAGAATGATCTTCCCTCGTGCACTTAAGTAACATGCAGTCAAACGAGAGAGAAAGGGAGTGGGAAGAAAAGATTTTTTTCTGCAGGTGTGATTCAGCACCGCAGACAGAGAGAAAAACAAAACAATCCCTACGCTGCTTCAGTCTGCCGACCAACTCAGCCTGGGTATCAGTATTAAGCTATTGCCAGGTATCATTGCGTTAATGCATTTATAAATGGACCAGAGATATTGCCATATACCCTAGCAAAGCAGACGAATATTAAATCACAGAATAATCTAATGAAATATTTATTTAAGTTTTTATTTTTTTCTCCCTCTGAGCTGGTCTGATGGATAACGTTCCTCTGTGGGTTGCCCTTCCAATAAAAAAGTGAAAAGGAAGGAAACGAGAATAGTTCGAACATAGCATATGCATCAACTTAAAATGAAATGGCATCCACATGAGACTGCAGTTATCCTGTATAAAAATTATACCTGGAAGGGAGTAACACTGATTAAACTAAGCTCTGGTTTGTTAAAACATCTCTCTCCTCTTTCATATGAAGGGAGTGTGAGTTCATCTACACGTCTCCATATTGTGTGTGCCTTATGGAAAGTGTCAAAGATCACGACACTGCTGTAGGACAGCATCCCCCCTGAGGAAACAGATGGGATTAATTCACTTACAGACTATAAACAGAGCTGTAGAAGTGACATGGATGGTACACACCCATCACGCTGTGATGATGTTACTGATTTCACAAACATCAGTAGGCAGTATGACCATTGCATGGTTGCCGAAGGAATTAAACCATTTTTGGGAAGGAATTTATTCCATTTCAGCTGAATTTGTGAACACTGAGAGACACAGAAAAAAAACAATTCTCATGCTCCTTGTGTTTCTGTGCAGTGATTCGATTTAACAAATCTAGAATAAAATCTTCTGTCAGGGCTAGTGAGCAAAGGCCACCGAGCCAAGCTAATGCAGTAACAACACCCGCTTTGCAATCTGTAAACGTCTGTAAATATTGTAATAAGCAACAGGGCTTTCCTCATAAAAGATGCAGCAGCTCAACTGGTACTGACAGGCGCTATGGGCCTTGACTTCAGGATGAGGAGTGCTGCCTTCCTCTCTCTTCTTCTCTTTTCTGTTGGTTTTCCAAGGAGATTGCCAATCTTAGATGCCGACAAGGCCGTGCTCTGCTCGAGGTTAGTGTCCGCACACCAAACGCACCTGGCTTTTATTCTGTCTCCACTTCGTACCCCTTAATCCCTGCCCGAGAGAGCCTTTCAGATGGATTGATTTCCTGCTCCAATGCAACATTCATTATGGCTTGCAGTATATTATGCTTTCAGTATGTTGGAAGTGGCGTTATTTCATGACATTTCTGGAATATGTTTGCTCTTAATGGGTGCCTGGAGCAGAGACAGATAAGGGAAGATGTACTGTGAGGTCTAAGGGAAAACATTGACCAATTTCAACACCAAGGCACTTGTTTATGAAACTGTACACTGCATGTGCATTTCATTAAAATGGACTAAATGACAGTGTCATGTTTGGAGGCGTGACTGTAATGGCATGGGTGTTAAGGGTTAATGACACTTTTTTCATGACATGGCTACCTAAATAAACCCAT